CCCAACCAACCGTCACTTCACGCACGCAGCCGCACAACCACACAATCGCAACTGTCTACCACTACGTCGTTTCACGGACGTGCGGCGATTCAATCGGGAAAGGCATTTGCTTTCGCTCGATTGCGTGTCAGGTCATGTCATGCCATTTCGCGTTAATGGTGGTTGTTTTGGCTGATCGCTAGATGAGTGGATGAGTGATGAGGTTATCACCCGTTTCAGCTGACTGAGTTTGCATGCAACGTGACTCCGCCTGTCCACAACCTCCCATAATTTTTAACGTAAATTCCACCTACCATTAATTCTTGTCCACATTCCTCACACTTTCTTCTTTGTTGCATTCAAGACGTATTACAACTCGACTGCGTACATTTTCCATCGAACTCTTCCTCCTTCAACGAGATATGCATGTTGGACTTTTCCTCCTATGATGCACTAAATACGCACAACGCCTAGTTTTATGCGGATGAAGCAGAGTGGTTTGGAAGGGTGGAGTGGGATTCAGTGGATATTTCATGATAAATTTATTCGATTAAAAATATTGCAATGCACAAGCTATTTAAAGACGGTACATCTTCATTATCTATTTGAAAGAACTGCAGGACAGGTTGTCAGCCATTGAGACTTGTGGTACTTGACACCTATCCACTTATTAGCTTACATTGTTACTTTCTCAGATGATGTGGGGACAGATTACCCGTTTCGTCAGCGCTCACGTTAAACATCATGGAAAATGGACTTTGACACGTTAATCACAAGTTATTTTCTCTATCAATAGAGAAATATTTTTGTACTATCACTCATAGAGGGTCTTCCTAGACGTGATGCATCGTCACCCTATGATTCACCACCAGAATCAAATTTCTTGAACTATTTTTAGGCGGTATGTGCTGCTGTCACGTTGGAAGTTCAATCGAAAAGAGCCCAACGGGAAGCTTCTACGGCCTTGGGACTGCCTTAGACTTAGTTTGAAAAGGAGGTGAGTTTAAAACACTTCCATCAGGTTCAACCAACATGGAAGATGGGTTCGAGATAAGAGAAGAGGGGTCGGGAGCATACTGAAAACTATCGTACAGATAGACAAACGCATTCCTACGCTTTGCATACTTTGTGCATACAGAGGATTACACCAACTTTCTGTCTACGAGTTACAACAAGGCATTACACTGAGTCGTACCGAGAACAGCGTGAGTTTTCGTGGTCAACTGACAACTATGATTTTGTGGAAATGAAGTTCAATGTGCGTTCAATAGTGCACCAACTGGTAGCCTTGATGCGTCTAAACGACTTCTAACAGCTCTCACTGGCCTATTTCAAGTGGGTAACTATCCTCACATCTTTCTAAGATTTAGAGACACTAGTCAATAAGTTTAAAAAGTTAGAATGCAAACTTTCTATGGAGTCAACAAAATTGGCTCGTGCGGCCTGCAAATGTATATACCTGATTGAGAATTACATCCACGTTGTGACCGACGTACCGTGTGTTTAAACGCATAAGTCATCATTTAATATTTGCGATGAGCAACGACAAAATTCTGTTAATATTAGTTTGAATCTAAATTATCTGCAGCCTTCCTCAGCCTATAACATCAAATGCATTTCACATTCCCACAGGCTTTTCAATACTAAATTGTTTAAACTCTCAACTGGGTGAAGGTAGACAAGAGTTTGCGGTAGAATCACACCTGCATTTATTTACGCTAGGTGACGCACTTTCATGTGATTATTGGACAGTTACCTCAAAATTTGCGAATTTTGGGGGTTCCGAGTATGCCTCTTCGTGATGAAATAACGTTGGTAATGGGGCTGTTTCTATTGGCATCTGACGCGTGTTACCCGCCTTTCCTTCCATTGAGTCTCTCAATATCGCAATTTATTCATCACAAATAATGCACTATTAGCACTAGGCAAGAGATCCCGGATTTTATATTAAAACAGAATATTAACCAAAGTTCGAAGAGGGTCTGACTGCAAAAATAAAACGCCCAGACGTAACAATCCCTACTAAGTGGAAAATCCTATAATGGTTGGAAGAAGTACAAAAAAAACTAAGGAGAAAATGTCTATCTTAACTACGAAGGGTGTAACGTCTAAAAAATCGGCTAGAACATTGCACACATATAGGAGCTACTGAATCATGGCGCACATGGACAATGTGCCTAAAGCCTGAATTTCGTGCGCACCACTGTGAAGCAACGAAAAATTAGGAAATATAACCTACTCTGGGCGTTGAGGGCAACTCCGCTCTAGTTTTTGCCCCCTGTGAGCGGTTTGAATGGCCTTGAGAGGGGCTGTTACTATTGTCGCATTGGGCAGAGATTCGAGGATATTAAGGATGCCTTCTACAAATAGCATGTGGTTGTAAAAAAGCTAACAAACCTGTTGATATGCACTGTGCTAAATGATAGAGGAAATATACGCTAGAATTGGGAATTGTCTAAACTAGAACTGACTAATTTCGTGCTTCATCTGCATAACTCGTTGGTGTGATCTCACTCTTCCGCATTCTATCTCGTCTAGGTGTTGACTAAACTGCTTGCTCTGATGGTGCTGACACAAAACGGACTGCAAGTAAACTCTCAACCCACAGCTAAAACAAAGAGCGTGTACAAGAGACGGTAGTTCAACTAACTAAAATAAGTATTATTGGTGGAGTTCAGTGCAACTTACCTTGAGTAACAAGGTCTTCAGCGTGCGTCAAGAGATATTTGACAATGTTTGCACCTTCTGATATAGAGCTGAAGATAAGAAAGAGATGGGTGATCATCAAAATGCCAAATACGGCTAGTGCGAGGGTCACTCAAGTTAAATCGAGACTTTCGAGCTAGCAGTATAGCACATTTCAACAAATATAAAGTTAATGAATCTGTTTGACACAATTTCCTGCAAAACCGCTTGGAATAAAAAAAAATCTGTTAGTAGAGTTGAACTGCCTTATAACACTGCTTTATTTTGCCTTACTAATCAGCGTGAGCTAAATTTTCGTGACTGATTCTGCCCTTCTCACCGTTAGTGTTGAAAGAATCACCACTCACAATTATACGACACGTGTTTTACGTGCTGCCTGTTCGTTTACGAAAATACCAGCTATGCTGGGGATTGAGAATGGAATCATCACGGCTTTGATTGACACTGACAGGCGTAGTGCCGTCTTTGAAAAGTTCGTACCACTTAAATGTCTCATTGGTAAGTACTCCGGCGTAGTGCTATATTTAAATCCTTCTATGAATACAAGTGAGTTCGTGCTCTACGAGTTTGTTATCGCCACTGTCTGCTCTCCAGATTGACAGTATCTGCATTGATTCGCACCAACTGTTGTGTGAAGCGACAGTTAAACCTGTCACTTGCTACTACGTGTAATAATAACATAATGCCGTGCTTTCCGTATGAAGCTAAAAATCCCGGTTTGGCATAAACTACTCTAAATGAGGGACAGGGCGGAAACATACGTTTTAGGACAAAGATTTATCCAAAGTGTGAGAGCCAGGTTATCGGCTGACATCTTTGAGGTGGCCTCGTTTTGACACACCTTCAGGAGAAAGTGGAGAAGGAGTAAGAAGTTCTTCCAATTCGCTTCCGGTAGGTGCGCTTTCATCAATGAAATTATTTCGCTGGAAGACAATCTAGAGGAAGAAAATACGCACATAATAAATAATCAAAGATTATGGTTACTTCGATGTAGCCCGCACTTTAATACTGCTAGAAAGAAGGATGAGGGTGCTCTACCCACACAAACATTCATAAATGCGAATGACCCAAATGATGAGTTACATGGAACTTTATTGCGTTGTTAATTGACCCCAACACTTAATATACACCAGAAGGCCGACCCTTACCCCTTAGAAATGTTGACGCAAAGGTTTTGAAATCATCTACATCTAAGAGTAGAATAACAAAGTGTGAAAACTGAATGTATATCAAATATTAAAGGTTATCCCAAGAGCACCACAAACTACCACTAACTTATTACTACTTTATTCACGCAAAAAATTTTCGTTTAAAGGGATCAAAGATGCTTTGGTATCTTGTGTAAATTCAGTATTGAAGAATACACTAAAGTAAGGCCAAGAAAAGTGGGAATCAAGTCGCTCCGCATGGGGTGTTTGAACTGCGCAGAACCCATCCTCCAATGCGTACTCGCCCATTCCTGATCCATCTATAAGTACTAAATCCATTTGACTGACCTTAGTTATTGTACTTGCTTACTCTCCTCTTCGCGGCACGCCCTCCCAGTATGAGCAGCGGCTGCCACGAGCATTTGCAGAAATCCGCCACGAGAAAGAATGTATAATCACAAATACATCCACCAGCGCCTATTTAGACCATCCATACGTTCATCGCAGTTCCATTCAGGCATCCATCATTAATCCGACCATCCCTCAACCCTTCACCAGCTCTTATCTAACAAGTCTTAACTAGCATATTTCAGCCCTTATTTGTCACACAGGTCATCGTATCTGATACAGTCATCTACCCACTGCCGCATTCACCAGCACATTTGTCGATTTCTTTTATGCAGACATCTATGAATTTGGAAATCTGTCCATGGATTTGCAAGAAACTATTGCTCCATCACTTATTTCACACCATTATTCGTGAATACATCTAGGCGTTCAACCATCCATCCATCCTTCCACAGAGGTTCTAAATATCCTCTGATCCACCTACCCCTTTGTCGACCATGAGCATACTTTGAGGGATTCACCGAAGTTAGACCACAGAAATACCACTTTTTGCATAAAGCAGAATGTAGAAATCCGAAAATGGACCCCCATAGTACATTGGGGGATTCTGTCAACACTTTTCAGACAAGTAACACTCGTAGCTTGCTAGAACATAATAAGATGAGATATTATCCAATTCAACGATTCCAAAGAAGCACGCAATTCACTTAGTTTAAGTTCTGCCTATCTACAAGGAGGCGTCCATGGACTCGTTGCATCTAAAAATTTGCTCCTTTAAATTTGTCGTTAGTATTAGCCCACACGATGGAGGGTAGCACTGCACTTAAGCGTTAAATTTAAAGACCAGTGCGCGCACAAGCTACAGGTTGTGCGATTTCTCTTTGTGTTTTCCAACATGAGCTCATTCGTCGTGTCCTCTCTCCTATGCAGCTACTTGCATCTGCAAGCATCCTGTGACTCAAGTCACACTACCTCGTGCTGATACCACTGCATGCCTTTCTTCACATCGTCAAAAGCTACTGCCTCTACTCTGCCAGTCCAACCAACCGTCACTTCACGCACGCAGCCGCACAACCACACAATCGCAACTGCCTACCACTACGTCGTTTCACTGACGTGCAGCGATTCAATCGAGAAAGGCATTTGCTTTCACTCGATTTCGTGTCAGGTCACGTCATGCCATTTCGCGTTAATGGTGGTTGCTTTGGCTGATCGCTAGATAAGTGGATGAGTGGTGAGGTCACTGACCATTGCGAGCATCTTGACTCCTTTAATGGTCCCATTATGGTCCTCATCAATCGTATGAGCGAATATGTGATAAAGAAGAATAATAATAATAATGAGGAAAGCAAGACGATTCTATGAAGTAAGAACAAAAGTGACTGAATAGATGCCAACGATGGAAACACCAAATTTTGATTGGATCACTTGTTCCAACAGGCTAGGTGCCAACACGGCAGTCTAGTTATGAGAATGAGCGGCATGAAACAAATGAATGAAGAATAGTGTGGAGTCACGTAGGCTTCCTGGCATCCAATGATCAAAAAAAAGCAGCTTACCACCTTATTGTACCTTCCTTGATTCAGATGTTAATTAGTTTACTTGGAAGGAGTGCTCGAATTTGGATTACACGTTTGTCTTCACCAATTTCCGCGAGTTCGTGCACTGCTTTCCAATAGGTAGAAGTGTACAACAAATCCCTCCATTCAAAACACAAACTATCGCAGAGTTCTTACTCATGTGATTGCGTCACACTAGCCTAAAGCACAACTTTTCGATGCTGGCAGTGTACTGGACCTGTCAGGCCCATAGTGGTTTTCAAGCCGCTTATATTGTGAGTTCAAAGAAGCAAGTTGGTAATTTTACGCATTAAAGCGATCTCAATGTGTGTTATTTTAAGAGGAAGCGGGTTCAAGTGAGGCAAAGTTCTCCGGTGACTTACTTTTTGCCTGAAAAATTTTCTACAAATGCACAGCTTAGGAGGGGTTTGGGAAGCTCCCGCAGGTACTGTTTCATCACGTCTGCCACCACGTAGACTCCACAGAGATCAAGAAGGCTATCGTCTACTTTGTTCATGTCAATAGCAGTCTACAATTAATTATTTCAATGCTTAAATGGCGATAAATAAAAGGATCACAATTGCAGTATCCAATGAGCTCGCTTTTTTACAGTAACACTTCCGACTGGTTTGAGTTGCGACTTTTCATTACCGTTTTATCTCTATAGCTCTGTTTATTGTACAATCTATAGCATTAGTCTCCTAGACCTTCTTACTCGTAAGAAACTCAGTTCCACATTCATGTTTCACATTGTTTTGGGTGATGACCCGCACAAGCAAGTGAGACTAGTCTTGCCAGACAGCTAGATTTCAAAACAGAACATGGGCGTCAACACAAATCGAAACTGTTGTTGCCTAGCCTCAGCCCTTCTGCATGTTGTAAACAATCCTGTGTGCTAAAAGAAAACTTCAGTTAAATGATAGCAGCCAATAGTGCCACTATGGGTGTGAAAATTACCGATTAGCTTCTCATGATACTAAGCTTTTGGAAACAGCTTAACTTTTAAACGGCTTATAGGAGTTGAGAATGTCAACACGACCAGTAGTTGGATAGGTGGAGGGGAATTATTAAATACACCTTAATGCTTCATGATTTTAATTACCTAATGAGAAACAATCGTAGAAAATTTGGACTTAAGAAAGAAATTTATCATTACGAGACAAATATGAGTCGATCCGACTGGTATTTGAGATTAAATGGCCAAAGTTCTACTACCATCATTTATGATTTTGGGGATGCAGGTATAAAGCTTGCTACCGGTGATTCACCTTGCGACATTAATATTTACACAGAAGTCGGCTACAGTTCACCCACAACCGCGGATCAATTTTGGCGCACCGTTGTGGTAAACAGTACGTACACAAATGAAAAAACCTGCCATGCAATCCACTTCTACTATGTCCTATAATCCAAACACTTATGACCTTAAGGAATAATCAGTGAGCTCAAGAGATGGTTGTTGAATCCATTCAGCAATGATTCATTCTCAAAATTTGATGTGTGAATATGCAATTAACAGCTCTTGTTTGATTTAACCTGCCAAAACTCACGGTGTATGCGGTCAATGGTATCTACGCCCACACACACGCACACACAGAGACAATGTAGTGTGGTTAGCACACACAACGTGCGCGGACCACTTAAGAAGGTAGTAAGACTTGCAAGCATATGCACACACAGAAACACACCAGTGAGATGAAAAACAGCACAAACCTACACTGGAGGATAGTTGCATAATAATCATATTCGACCGTTGAACACTTGAGAGCAGAAGAGGTTTACAGGTGTCGGTTGGAGCTTTTAGCTCGAACTAAGCCAATGACAATTAAAAATTTGTACGATGCTGGTGTATTTACTGAACGTTAATTGTCACTAAGGCAGAAGTTCCTCAAGCCCAACTTATTTAAAATCAACCAGAGATCCAAACCTTTTTGGTAGGCTGTAAATCTTAACTTTTTCAGGCAAAATTCAATATTTCTGTGTGATATTCAGAAAGATAGCCAAACTAAGTTGTTACGTAGTTTTAAATAATGAAAATATGTCACTCCTGAAGAGTAACTAACAAGGTTACTACAAATTTTAATGATTCAGAAAGCCATTAACAAATTTGTAGACAAAACAAGTCAAAGAAAGTTGAAGGGAACAAATAGGAACTCACTCGAAGAAGTTGAATATAAGTGACTTGACCTGCAAGGCGGAAGATGCCCTAAAAGGAGAGGAGAAATGGAGGTGGGCCACTTCAAGGGCAAATGTTTCAGCCCAAACTTTACTCAGTCTACTTGTAGCGATCAAGATGGAGTATGGAAAATAAAGCTTGAAGGACGCGATTCCTATGGGAAATGATCTCTACCCCCACTTCCACACTTGCCAACGTGGACATGGAAACAGGGGAAAGTGTGACAAATGTGATGAGGAAAAATTGAAAGACAATGGATAGCAGTTGATCTCTACGTTGGCAACACATAAAGCCATGTTGCACTATTAATTTCGTCAATTTTTGATTGGCGTTGGCACAGCTCTAAACCGGAAAATTCACATTTGAAGTGTAGTTAAAGATACCAGTTATTTCAAGATAGAGTGAATTATGAGACGTTGGCAATTGATTGGAACAACACTAGAATGACCCGTTCGCACAATTAACTTGTGACCTTTAACAGCAAACGAACAAATAAACACTCCGTGCATTTGTCCCTCTTAATTATTCACTTGCAAAGGGCACGCTTTTGGTCTAGTTAACACACTACCAGCAATGTCTGATAACCGACCATGCTCCAGTTATATCAGCCTTCGGCGGTTAGCTTTTGCTTGCACGATTTATCTCCGTTGGCTACCCGAATAACAATGGCACGGTGAGTAACCACTTCATGCAAATAACAGCCACCCTGCCTCTCTTACAAATACTTGTCCCTCTGATAAGCTGGTGCTCGATTGAGCATAACTCTAGATCATTTCTTTCAATAATATAAAGCATTAAAGATTGGTTTCAAGTGCATACTTTTTAAATAATGACCTTGTGAACCGTCTGATCTGCTGGTGAGCCCTTCGTTGTTTTGAACTTAGTCAGCTGAAAGTGAATATCTAACTGATCAACGGGTGATGACCTCATCACTCATCCACTCATCTAGCGATCAGCCAAAACAAACACCATTAACGCGAAATGGCATGACATGACCTGACACGCAATCGAGCAAAAGCAAATGCCTTTCTCGATTGAATCGCCGCACGTCCGTGAAACAACGTAGTGGTAGACAGTTGCGATTGTGTGGTTGTGCGGCTGCGTGCGTGAAGTGACGGTTGGTTGGA